ACCAAATCCGTACAGATGATGGAGAGGCACTTCATAGCTACGCCCTCTAAAAGGCTGTGGTAATGCAGTTCAGGACCTCTCATACATGTCAGAGTTGGACTCACCATCTAACATGAAAAGACTTGTTTTCAAACTCCCATTTAAACTCCGAGAGACATGGCGGTTTACTGTGTGCGACATCACGGAAGGAACACACCAGAGACCTAAATTGAAGGACCTTGTCCTCTTTCTGGAAAGGCAGGTCAGAATTATCCAAGATCCCGTCTTCGGGGATATCCAAGACCCTGCCAGAAGCACAAACAGCAGAACATTCAAAAGAGACCAACGGTATACAAGACCAAGCAGCAAGAAAAGCTTTGCTACAACTGTCATGCCCAAGACCGAAAGCCACATGAACACTAATGCACAGGAGAGGCTGGAGAGGCTAGAGGGCATCCGTAAACCCATGGACGCCTTCATCAAACCTTGTGCTTTCTGTAAAGGAGATCATGTGATGGAAACATGTGAAATAATAACAAAGATTCCCCACAAAGAGAAAGTTGAGCTACTAAAGAAAAACGGACTCTGCTTTGCCTGCTTGGTCAAAGGTCATATGAGTAAAGAATGCAAGAAACGTCTCACATGTCGATCCTGTGAGAAAAAACACCTCACTGTCTTACATATAGATAACTTTACTCCAGGAAACAATAGGCCGGTAGCTAAGTGGGATTCAGACACCAGGAGCAATTGTATGGCTAAGGTTTCTTCTGCAGCACAAATTGCTATGGTGTCATCAACAGCACAAAAGTGGGGCAGAACAACAGATTATAGATTAGCAGTGGTACCTGTAAAAATAAAGGCACACAAAGGCAGCTGTTTGATAGACGTATGCATTCCTAGATCCCGGAAGCACTGCTACCTTTGTCACAGAAAAACTGATGGAACAGCTGTCTGTCAGAGGAAAGAAAACCGAAATCTTACTCCGAACGATGGGTCATGAAAAGCCTGTGAAAACCCACGTGATAAGAGGACTGGAAGTATGCAGCCTGGAAGGCAACAGCTTCATAGAGCTTCCTGAAGTCTTCACACAAAATGCCATTCCTGTCAATCAAGAAAACATCCCTACAGAAACGGACATAAAAGGAATTCCTTACTTAAATGAGGTCCACATAAAACCCATCAAATCAGAAGTAGGCCTATTGATCGGTACAAATGTCCCACAGGCTATGGAACCACTGAGAGTGATCAATAGCCAAGGCAAGGGCCCTATGCAGTCCTTACATACCTAGGTTGGACTATAAATGGACCTCTCTGCAGCACTGCACCTATGGATGAGGACGGTCGACCACGGATAGCGTCCAATAGAATATCAGTAGCCAAGCTAGAAGAGCTTCTAAGACACCAATACAACCAGGACTTTTCAGAGTCGGCCTACAATAAAAAACAAGAGCACTCATTTGAAGACAAGAAATTCTTTCATGTGATGAACAGCTCAGTCAAAAGGAAAGATGGCCACTACGAAATACGACTTCCTTTCCGTCAGGATAACATCAGTATGCCAAACAACAGGAAGATGGCGAAACAAAGAGTATTGAATCTTGGCCGTAGATTCCAGAAAGACGGATCCTTTCGTAAAGACTATAATGGCTTCATGTGTGACGTCTTGAGGAAAGGGCATGCAGAAAGAGTGCCAGAGGAACAACTCTCCCGGAAAGACGGAAGACTGTGGTATATTCCTCACCATGGTGTCTACCACAAAAGAAAAAAGACTATCCGGGTGGTGTTCGACTGCACCTCTTCATTCCAAGGAACTTCCTTAAATCGTGAGCTGTTGCCGGGTCCTGACCTTACGAACAAACTATTGGGTGTACTTCTCAGATTCCGACAGGAACCAGTGGCAGTGATGGGGGACATTGAAGGAATGTTCCATCAAGTAAGAATACCAAAGCATGATGTGGACTTCCTCAGATTCCTGTGGTGGCCAGATGGCGACACCAACCAACCGCTAGCAGAATACCGGATGACGGTGCATCTCTTCGGAGCAGTCTCATCACCGAGCTGTGCCAATTTTGCACTGAAGCGGACAGCTGATGACAACGAAGGAAAGTGTAGCACTGATGCTCTTCACACCATTCGTCAAAACTTTTATGTAGACGACTGTCTGAAATCTGTCCCAAACGAGAGCCAAGCCATCCGTCTGGTGAAAGAGCTTCGATCAGTCTGCACCACAGGTGGATTTAAACTCACCAAATGGACCAGTAACAGTCGTGCAGTCCTTGCCTCTGTTCCAGTGGAAGAGAGCAAAGGAAGTCTAGACCTCGACAAAGACAAACTGCCCATCGAAAGGGCCCTCGGCATGCGATGGGACATTGAGTCAGACACTTTCTTCTTTTCAATCACCCCAAAACAACCATCAGTAATCCGCAGAAGCATTTTATCGGTGTTGAACTCTGTATACGACTCCCTAGGGTTCATAGCGCCAAACATGCTGACAGGGAAAGGAATACTGCAGGACCTGTGCAAGCTAAATTGTGGATGGGATGAAACAATACCAACTGCTTACACAGAGAGATAGGATAGACAGGATGTTGAGGAGATAGCTTGAGTTAACCCTCGAGGACGCTGTCTTAAAATACATCCAAAATGACGCCAGAAGGTTTCAAACCTATGTAGCCAACAGAGTGTCCACTATTCGGGATCTGACACACAAATTCCAATGGCGCCACATGAAGACAGAACTCAACCCCGCAGACATGGCATCAAGAGGCATAAAAACCGAGAAGTTCATTCAAGAAGGACATTGGCTGAGTGGTCCAAATTTCCTGATGCAACCGGAAACTGATTGGCCAGTGATTCAAGTACCACCCACGCTGTATGACAGTGACCCAGAGGTCAAGAAGGTGGCCATGGCTTTCACTACAAGTATACTGCAGAATGAAAGGCCACTGACTCGTTTTATTGAGCACTTCTCATCATGGAACAAATTGATCCGATCATCAGCCTGGATCTTAAAATTCAAAGAAACTCTGAGGCGAAAGAAAATGAGTAACACATACCCAACTGGGTCGCAGCTGTCCGTGGAGGATTTAGCCAAGGCAGAGCAATCACTTGTGTCTTATGTCCAACAACAATCCTTCAAAGATGAGGTGACCTCTCTACAAAGGGGCTTACCCATAAAGAGAAACAGTAGGATCTATAGACTAGATCCTATCCTCCAACATGGAATCCTGAGAGTCGGCGGCAGATTAAGTAAGCTGGCAATGCCAGAGGAAACCAAACATTCTGCTATTCTACCCAAGGACACCTGTCAAAGATACTCCTACACCACACCCACACCTCGATGGCTCATTGTGGAAGAAATCAACTTATCGCAAAACTCAGGACAAAATACTGGATTCTAAGAGTAAATTCTGCTGCAAGAAAGATAACAAGGGACTGTGTACTTTGCAGGAGATGGCATGGCACAGCAATGACACAAAAAATGTCCGACCTACCGCTACACTGGATTACACCTGATTTGCCGCCCTTCACCCATACAGGACTAGACTACTTCAGGCCTATAGAAGTCAAGCGCGGCCGCAGCAAAGTAAAACGGTATGGAGCCTAGTTTACGTGCCTAGCAAGCAGAGCCGTACATCTGGAGATGGCCTACTCAATGGATACAGACTCATGTATTTCTGACCTCAGCAAGATCCAGCATTCGATGCACGCTGAAGGTATCAAATGGACATTCAACCCCCCTTATGGTGCTCATCATGGAGGCGTATGGGAACGACTCATCCGGATGATAAAAAAGAACCTCTACTCCATCACAAGGGAACAGATCCTGGATGACGAGAGTCTCCAAACATGTGAAGTAGAGGCAATCATGAATGACCGGCCCATCACAGTCTTATCCCAAGATGCAAAAGATCCAGAACCTGACACCCAACCACCTGCTTCAAATGAAGCGAATGCCGACTCTTCCACCTGGACTCTTCGACAATAGTGATACCTATTCCAGACGAAGATGGAAGCAGACTCAGTATATAGTGGATCTCTTCTGGAAACGCTGGATACGAGAGTACCTCCCATTGCTACAGGAGAGACAGAAATGGAATAAGATCAAAAGGAACCTAAAGCATGGAGACATAGTGCTGATCATCGATGAAAGCTCACCACGCAACTCCTGGCCTATGGGCCGAATCACTGAAACCTTTCCCGTCAAAAGGGGACATGTACGTCATGTACATGTACCTGATGTCAAGATCAGGACAAAAAATGGCACCTTGGAAAGGCCCATCACAAAGCTGTGCCTTCTACAAAACATGCCCTGATTAGATCCTCGAATAGACTTTGCCCCCTTTCTCTGACCCTTGAGAGAACTCATTTTCCTTTTCTCAGGAATTTTTTGAACCCGTTTTGCAAAAAGGACTATCGAAACTAAATGGATATTATTTTTGGCCTTTTTTCTTAATTCTATGGACACGAGACAAAGGACTCTAAAGAATGTGCTTCATATGTTTAAATGTATGAATTGTCCTATACTGGTCAATTAGGAGCCGGAGTGTAGAAGCCATTCCACTACATTTGTATCGTGCATAATGAAACTGCCTTTTCTGTTGATTTATTCGTGATGATGTAATGATGACGTCAGGGGGCGTCGGCTATTTAAATGTCACCTGAGTAAGGCCAGGTGTGTTTTCGAGAGCGGAAGGAGATACTATTTTTGACCGCATTACGCATTGAATTCTCTGTTTATTTTGAGTGTGATTTAGGTTGTTTTTGCTGAACAATGAATAAAGAATATTGAAGTGACAATACGAGCAAATGTGCGTTGATTTTACCGACAGCTCCTACACCATATTATAGTGCAAAAAGGTTTTACAAAGCACTACCAAAAATGACTACACTTGTCATAATAAAATATACATTTTAACTTTTCGAATACTCATTTCAATCGTTTTCATTTCTGTCCAACAACTGGCTTTATCATACTGCTGGATTTTGACACCATATTTTGTGTTGCCATTCATTTCTAGATGCCCAAGCCCGGGGGCAGTGCAGGTGTGCCACCTGGGAGCCGGGACGGCAGTGGCATATGTCGAAGCAGCAGCATCTGCAGTGGGAATAGTGGATCTGGAGGCAAGATACTGTCCCTGTCATCGATGAGTGAGAGTGTGCACAGTGGCCTGAGTTGTTTCTTGTCTGAGCAAGCCCTGGAGCATGAAGAAAAGCAACAGCGCAGTAGCCAGTTAGCAGAGTTTCAGCGACTGAGAGAGGTTCGTGCAGCTGCTCAGATAAAAAATCTGGAGGATTTTCTTAGAATGAACCATGTTTCACTAAGGGACAGCATGGCGTATTCAACTGGAATGATATACAGGTAAGACTAATATGTATTTATTAAGCGTATGCTCATGAAATGTCTTTTATGACATCTCTAACTAGATCTAACAATATATCTTCAATTGAATGTGCTTGCACAGCATCTAAAAGTGGCAACATCTAAACGTTTGTTTGATAAACCCTATTATGCAGTTTCAACTCAAACAATTGCAGCTTCTGCTATTTTGCTGCTTCCCAAGTCTCTTTTTAAACTGGTGAGACATATAAAACCGTAGTCAAGCCCTGTTCATGTATTTAAATATAAAAATGTATGTCTGTTGGTACCTGCCATTTTCTTTCATGAACATGTGGAATATGTCTGTTATGGTTTATTTTAAATAGTTCAGTAACTCTTAAAATAGAGTTGCCACCTTTAGTTCAGTAAAATAAGGGATGCTATGGCCGAGGGAGGGCTGGCGGTGCGGACGTTATGGGACGGGGGGGGGGACTATGCAATGCCCCGGTGATTCCTCTCGGTACTTTTACATCCGCTTTCGCAGCTGGACACTGGGGGTCTCGGGAGCTGCCTCTGCCATTCTTTCAAATCAACACTCCGTCAAGAGACCCGCCCTCTTCTGACTCTGATTGATTGGTGTATTTCAGGTTCACAGCCAATCAAGCCAACGATGGCAGTGAGTATTACCCAATCAGGGGCCAAATAGGACAAGTCTTCACAGAATTCGGGTGGGATTATTGCATGGGATGCTGCATTGACGACAACTCGTAAAATACCGGACAAACCCGTATTGATTCAAAACGGGACGCGCTTTTTTATTCTCAAATACGGGACGATTCCGGGTGGCAACCCTATCTTGAAAACAACTAACTATAATCCATCCTCTTCCAAAACAAATATATACCTTTTTTACCTATCACTGAAAAAAAGAAATCATCAAATCTACTTAAAGAAAGCTAGGTTTACTTACTAGTAATAATTGTTTTTTATCCAAGTTGTACTTGCAAATTATTTCCTTAGATATTAAATGTCCTTGTCAGTAATCTTTACTCCTGCTACTTTTTGCAACTGATTACAAAACCCATGTACAAATGACTGGATGTTACAGGGTTATTTAACTATCTTTTCTTTCCTTATTCTATTGATTGATTTAAAGTAATTTTTACTTGATGTTGTCTATTTACCACTATTCAACACCACTATTAAAATAAAATAACTTTTGCATTTTTTAAAATAGGCTACTTCAATCTAATAAAATGTTCTTTACATAAGGCTAACAACTTCTTTAAACTACAGCACCTTTATTTGTCATCTTGCATACATACAACCAATATCGATATAAAAAGTGGTTGTCAGTGGTTCAAAACATCAGTGCTGCCAACAAAACATTTAGGAACATTCAACAAAAAATTTCTGACAAAGACGAGATCCTTACTATTTTATATGATCCATAAAAGTGCAAAATTGGATCAACAAACGCAAGTATCATCACTAACATGAGTGGGCTTTCAGTGTTTTTAAAAGGGGAAGTCCTTCAAAAATTTCAACAATTCAGTGGCAGACGGGTAGTTATACTAAAAGTTTGCTGTGCAGGGTGCTGACTGGGAAAGATCTTTAGCACACCAAGCTCTGATAACTCCAGTTCATTGCATACGTTAAGGCCATGAGAAGAAGCCATGCCTTTGCCGCACTTTCAGTCATTAGTTTGCATTTAAGTCACTGACTGAGGTATCAATGTTATTCTCAAAGTTACTGTACAGTAAAAATGTATGTCAAGTTAAACCTAAACAGTACTAATTTCACTTTACCTTGAGGGAACTCAAGGTAAAGCGTGTGAATGATAATGTTTACTTATAAAAATGAGGATAAATAATTACAAAAAAAACACATTAATTAAGATATTTCCAAGTAAAAGCACTAAATTGATGATTTCTTGTAAAATGTACAAAAGGAATGAACGTAATAATTACAGGGCCAAAAAGTCAAGTCTTTTTTTTTCAGTGTTTAAAAAAAGTGTTCTGTCGTCAACAGACCACACAGTCAACCTTTTAAAAAATATTATAGGTTTAATTGTAAGCAAGATTGATATATGCAATGTGCAGCACATTATAGGGGTTTCTCTTTAATGAACTTACTTGATAATGTACAGGATTTTATGTGATTCTTTTTATCAACAGAAATCTTGGTAAATCGGGGCTGAGGGTGTCTTGTCTTGGATTAGGTGAGTTTGACATAAACATACATGCCCATAAACACAATTGTGTTTATTGGTGGAAGCAGACACCGAGCGCCCAGTCCATCCACCTGATTCATTCAGCTGAATAAAGCCCCGCCCACTATGTAGAAAAGCTTTTTTTTTAGATCAAATGTTTTTGTTTTGCAGCCCAAAATTCTGGTTTCCTAAGCAAAACTAAAATAATTTATTCTCAGTTTATATATTTTTTACCTACAAACTCGATTTTTGTTTAAACATGAACACCCCCAAGCTCACCCATATACAGCCTAACACGAGTAGCCTTAGCCTAGTTTAGTTCGGGTGACCAGACAACTTACAGTGCGACATGCAATGGTCGTGCATGTAAACAGCATAACCTGCATGTACTGTCGGGGTTATGCAACTGCACACGCTCCGCTAAAGCCCCCCCCACTACTCTGCAGCGGCTCATATGCGCTCTACAAGCGCGTTCCTGGTTTCAAAACTCCGCCAATCACTCCTAATAGCTTGTCGAAGCATCCCAGCATCATCAACTTAATTCAAAACTTGAAGAAAATGCGTATTCTGACCAGCTGTACGCTCTCATTTAACTTCCGCTTAGTTCATGTCCAATTGTTAGGGTTTCGGAAAGCTCTCGAGGGAGGCCTCAATCCTTTGTTCTCGTCCCGGCCGGAAACGAGGACACGAATGAGTCAATTCGTTTAAATTCAAAAATCAAAAAGTATTTAATAACTAAACAACGTTATAAGGAATGCAATTACAAAGTGAAATACTAAGCGAACAGTGGAATATTTCGCGAAATAGAGAATCCTCTGAGCAAGTCTAAAGTGACTTTTCAAGGCTGCTGCAGGTCAGATTCTACCAGTCCTTTCCCCCGCCATGGTCCTTTGAAAACTCTTGAGGTGTGTCTTCCTTGGTGCATTTGAATGTCATTGGCTTCTTCTCCAAAGGGCCACCTCCTGGACTGTCCCCTTCACGTCGAGGTGTGATGCTGCAGCTGTAACCTGAAACCTCACTGTACTATCTGTCCCTCACATTCCAATGCACTCAATGTAGATACAGTTGGCTTTATGCCCCAATGAGTGAATTTAACAAAGCATACATCGTTTAAGTCTTCATCTTATAACTAGTACACTTTCATTACAACAACCCATCATTAATGATCACCGTTCATCACCCTTCATCATAAGATCTAAGACAGTTCATGTGGTCCAATTCTCAAGACATTTGCCTCAGTCGGCTGCCTTACATTAAGTTGTTCATTTATTACCTGACAGGAGAAAAAACTCCCAAAAAACCCTCTTTGGGGATAAAATTGGAAGAAATCCATAAAGAACGGCAATTGGCATCCGTCCCCAGGTTTTAACATCACATTGTAACAGAATGTTAATGTGTACAGTGTTTATATGATTTAAATGACTATGAATTGTGTTTGATTGAAATTGCATTCACTTCATCTAACATGTTAATGTAATATCTAATAACACACAAACTATAATTCTAACACTAAACATTATTACACGTACTATAATTTCCTGACTAGGGGTGCACTTCTGGCTTAAATCCCTAACACAATACAGTCTGTTAATGTACAAATGTCAGCTGTCTATTACCGAATCTTACAGACACAAATCACACTGATGGCATAAAGTTAAAGTTAAAACACTCACCGAAGCCCCATTATTAATGGACATGGCTGAAATCCGGTCATCATAGCCGACAAGCCGTAGTTGTATGGGGCTCTCGCTCCTTTTGCGCGACGCACGCTCCCGATCTTGAATCTAGAATGGATTGCTCTTCCTTGGGTTCCCGGATGTTGTGGTTTAATTTTTTGCAGTTGAATTTTTTGACATTGAAAAACATTCAGATACATGATTTCAATGCATAAATATTCAGTGCTAGAAATTCAATCACCTTTTTCTTTCAAAATCCGATGAGATAGATTTACTTCCATACAATGCGTCAGGCTTCAGAACCTGCAATGAGTTTATTATGTTAGACGTGTTTGGAGAAGCCTGTAACGGACAGTCTCATCCACCCGAGGAAACGCTGACTACCGTCGCCAGAGAACAGAGCAGAAAGGTCCGCATGGATCTCTGCTGGCCGACAGTCTGCCGAACAGCCCCGAGCTGTTAAACGGGTCTTCATCTCCACGCACATCTTTCTCTGAAGCACCGCGGCTTCAGCCTGCTAACAGTCAGCTAAACCAAGATAGCTAAGGAAGTGCACACTCACCGAAGCGTAAAATAGTCGTCACGGTCCGCAGTCGGTGCACAAGAACCACCGCTGCACCGATGTGAGCGAGCGTTCTGGGTTCGTGGATGAAGTCATCATGACACGTTAATATCCGCCATACGGGGTCGTACTTTGCCTGTTGTCTGTTGCAGTGCAGGTGCAGTGCTGTAGTGGTAAAATTAGAGGTGGGTAAACTCTGAATTTTGTAATCATACAGACCTCGATGCGATGCGAAGTAACGCAACACAAAGCTTTGCGACTCTTTAAGGCTGTCCTGGCTATATTGCATTATGTTATCAGTAAAAGTCATATACAATCAATGACAATGAATAAATCTGTTAGTAGTTTGTAGTTTATTAAATTTAAGAAAACAGTGAAGAAAAGTATGTCAACACAACACAACAAGACAATTGCAGATTAAGAACTATCTACATATGGAGTCTCCTTTTTACAGTAGTGACCAGAGGGCTTCCTTGTCTTCCACGTCAGGTTCTGCCTTGCACAGAGGAGCCATGAACCCCAGAACACGCGTTCTGGGGTTCATGGCTCCTCTGTGCTTCTCCTCTCTCTATTCAACCTGGTGTTTCTCCTCTCCCTGTGCTCTCTGCATCATTGGGTGTCCTATCACTGCCTGAAAAAATATGTTGAATTTAAGAATTGTGGGGCTGAGAACACCAGTTAAGCAGCCTGTCAATTACACTGACAACATAAGTTAAAGGAACACTCATGTACTACCTATGTCATCATAAATAGCCTATACAGCATGTTTTTTTCACATTGAGAACTGACTTGTTTTCAAATAATCTATGTTTACACTGTATTTCGCTTACAGGCTACTCTACACCTTTCATGACTTCAGATAATTGATTAAGCATATAGGCCTATTCAGTGAAGCAACAGCTTTGCTCCCCGCTCACGTTTTCTATGCGAGAGCAGGACATGCTGACATCATGAAAGTAAAAAACTTATATATTTGACTTTGACCGCGAAATTTGATGAAGATTCTATAGCTAAACTAAAACATTTCACTTAGCATTTCTCTTAGCTAACTGTCTTGCACATAATCTGTTGACAATTTTTCAATGAATTAGCCTAATCTGCAGCAATATGCGTGAGCATAATTACTCATTTTATTAGGCCTATTTAGATGGGACCGGGCTTGTTACCTGCATCATCTATTTGAAAGCACGTTATTAGTAGCGTTTGTCCCTGTCTTAATGTGATGTTGTGCGAACCAAAACAACGTTTAAAAACGTGAATTAATCTTCTTCAGTCTGTCTTTGTACTTGAGGCCTTTTGCGGGCATCTGTGGGAGTGGGAGCACTCGATGGTCTCTTCAAATATCGCCTGATATCCATTGCTAATTACCGGCGCTAATCCATTCTGTAGTACCTTGGATACTTCCGGTTCAAATGTCTGTCATGTTGTGATGAGTTCATCAAGGTGCGCGTTTATGCCCAGAAGTAAATATGCACTAATAAAGATGGACGCATACAGCGCCGACTAAAAGAAACTCACTGGTACGTGTTGTACTTAGACAATTAAATGTCAGTGCACACATTCCGAACAGGTAGGCAGGCAGGCTAATCCACAACGTGTATGTGTTTACATACCTCCTGGATCCTGATTGGTGTCGCTGCTGCAGCCGCAAGGCACTGATTGGATGCTCAGACCACAATACAGCGCAGATGAAAATGATTCAGACTACGGCGTTTATATGTTCAACAATAGGAAACGTAGTCTTAGCTGTTTTAAAATGACACCAAGTTTATTTCGGATTATTCCAACGGAAGAATACAAGGCGCAGGGAACTTTGAGGTGCGTAAACGCTATTTCCAAAATTCCAGAGGTGCGTAAACGTGCGTTTACCCTCCACTACAGCCCTGGTTAGGTGCATGCGAATTTAGGGGGAAAAAAGTATTGTGACTTCGTCAACCACCAACATTTTCGTTTGTCACGTCTTAGTCATGGAAAAAAGGTCGTTAACGAACATTTTTCGTCGACGAAATTAACACTGCTCCACAGTAGCAGAAGTGCTTCTGCTCGAGCTAACTGGTGGGACTGCAGCAAAACATCCTATTGAGGAGAGTGCTCCCGCTCCCCTCTCACTGTAAGGACCAGCTATTCGGTCTGTTCGCACAGTAGTAAAAGTGCTCCTGCTCGAGCTAACTGGTGGGACACCGATATTTGCAGCAAAATACCCTGGTGAAGAGTGTGACACCAGTTCTGTTTCTTCACAGGAACATGCCAGCATTCCTATGGGGTTCCACTTTGGCCCTCCTCGGCCCCCAGCTAACCCCAGTAACTGCCACAGGCCGCCTAGAGGCCGGCTCGTACCCATGCAATCCTCCCATATGTTCCCCCCCGGCAACCGCTGAACCTGGAGCCCAATCGTTGCCAATAAACCTCCAAGCAGGGTGGCCAAGAAATGAGGTCTCAGGGCCAGCCTTTGGTTATTCCTTCCAGCAGCAGATTGGCTACTGGGAAGTTCATGCATCAGACCCCAGGGTAGTTTTTACCCTATCTCATCAATTCCAGGAGCACAGCGTTTTTTTTATTGTATTCGTTTAATAAACAAATTCCATGCATATACTGCACCTAAATGCAAAGGATATCGGTTGTCCAGCTGCTTTTACAGGCCTATATGTTCTCCCAAACATTATCTTCCATCCAGGGTTACCTTACGGGAAAGTCCAGTATACCAAATAAAAGGACATAATGGTGCTTTATGGACAAAATTCAACACCCCTATTCCCGGGGTACCTTTAACTCACAACTCACTTCCCCAGGGTACCTTGACTCACTTGAAGACAAAAATACACAGAATTGATAAGAGGTGGCCAGCACCATGAAAACAAAAGAACAATTTTTACTGTCAGTAAAAATACAAAACCTGGAACGAACACAATGCATATGAATAAATTTAGAACCATGGATAAACTTTAGTTAATGCACAAATAATTGTATTAGTCATAATTACCTTGATCAGGACATCACTTGTGGTGGCGGGCGTGGTTTGGCTCGGCTGCAGAGGGGACGGAAAAGGGAGTGGTTCGGGGAACGGTGCCGGGGGAGGCATAATCGGCCTCAGCTGAGATTAATCAGTGTTTGTGTTCTGCCTTTAAGTAGGAGAGCGAGGCGGGGAGGCTGGAGCCGGCTGTGTGTTATTTTATATGAAACATTAAATAAAGCACTTCAATGGATTAGACTGCTGCATGTGCGTCATTCCGAGACCCCCCCCATATGACAAACCTGTCATAATCACATTTCCCAATGTTCCCTGTAAGGGATCACAGTTAGTACTGTCCAATTTCCTGTAGGATTCCCATAAAGCATGTCGACTTCCTGGTTGACGCTCTTCGTCACCCAGCTGGTCCATTCCCACAAAACCCCTAGGTACTAAACATTTGGTTCTTAACTTCAACATGAACTTTAATTGTGCTATGTTTTTATAAATCACATTTTAGCCAAGTGAAATTTTAACTGGTTTTAATGTTTTAACCTCACGCCAAATAACTAAGCCTGTGCACTGACTCAGTACATTGACAAATAAAACTCTTAAACAAAATCCATAAAATCTCCTTTTATTTATTAATTTATTAGATTTGTGTGGCTTAAGTCCTGGCCATCACAGCACGGAACAATTCTTTCAAACTCTGATTTGGGCACCGTTCCTCGTACATGGCTAACTGAGTTAGCCGAATCATTTTCAGGATAAGATAGATCAGGCTTTTCGGTTGCACGAAGCAAGTTTGGCAAAATCACCATTGCAACACATCCAAAAACTTGAACTCGCTGTAACTTGAACTTGGTCAACTGTGCAACTGATAAGAGATTTGATGTAATGCTGTTTCATTTTTTAATGCTTAATTGTGTGTGTGTGTGTGTGTGTGTGTCACAGTGTGGGGTTATTTCCTGTCTTATTTTGTAGTTTCTGCTTTGTGTCTCCCTGGGTAACTTCACTTCCTGCCTGGTCCTGTCATCCCCTGTGATTGTCTGACTGTTTCCACCTGTGTCCAATCACCTGCACCTCCCTAGTGTATTTAAACAATGTGTGTCTCTTGTCGCGTCATTGTCTATCGTCCTGGATGTCTCTAGTTCCTGCCTGCTGTTTTTCCCCAGTTCCTGTATGCGTTTTTGCCCCTTGGCCATTTTGTGTTGGAGTTTATGACTATTAAAGTCCTTTTGCTTTTGACGTCTGTGTTTGAGTCCTGCCTTCCACCCACCCTGACAGTGTGGGTGTGTTATTGAGCAGTGCTGTGTGTTCATCTGCTTAGCAATTTGGACAGTCAAGGGAAGTCTAAACACAATTGTCTATACCTCCAGAGGGAAATATCTAGTCTTACTGTACTGCTAAATGCTCAACTATTTTCACTAGCTAGTCTGTATCTGTCTGTTTGCTGCTCAGCAGGTAGTCGTGACAAGGAATTAGACAAAAAAAAACCTTTTGCCAAACTATTTTTTACTCCAGCATCACATATTTGTATTGGTATTTACTGTAATGGTATAAAATGAGTATGAAATATTACACTGTAACTCCAGAGTATTTACGTTGTGTGTTGCAGGCTGTAGTAGGCTAATTTACTTTTACTTTTGTCCAGGCACGTGGGTCACCTTTGGAGGCCAGATAACGGATAAGGTAGGAGAGAATTACGGCGGTCTCATGTAATCTAGGCTCAAGTTTAACAGGATGTAACAATGATAGAATAGTATAACCAAGTAAAATGCATCGCCATCTTTAATATAGAGATGGCTTTACCACTTTATGACTTTCTCCCTTGGATTGATTCATATGTGATTTCAAGCAAATTATTTCACAGTAAGCATGCCCATGGAGTTTTACAACCAAGTGCAATATTGTTATTTCTAGGAAAGTCTGATTGCATTTATCTATATGGTTAAATATACATGTTGCCTTTGCCTCAAAGCAGAAGAATCAAAGAGAAAAATAAACTGAAACCTAAGGGCTAACTGACGAGGTGAAAATGAAATCCTCAAAACTTATGTTTATAAATTACATTACATGTCATTTAGCTGACGCTTTCATCCAAAGCGACTTACAATAAGTGCATTCAATCATAGGGATAAAAACTTAGAAAAGCAAGAAACAAGTGTGATTTCATCAAGTAAGCCAAGTTACAATTTGCTATAGATAAGTACCATTAAAAGTACAATTTAAGTGCCACAATTTGTTAGTCTTTTGGGCAAGGTAGAGTCTGAAGAGGTGTGTCTTTAGTTGGCAGCGGAAGATGTAAAGGCTCTCTGCAGTCCTGATGTCATCAGAGAGCTCGTTCTGCCATTTTGGAGCAAGGACAGCAAAGAGTTGTGATCTTGTTGAGTGTTCTGCTCTCAGTGAGAGAGGGACAAGCACTTTAGCAGATGCCAAGTGGAGAGTGCGGGTCGGGATGTAGGGTTTGACCATGTCCTGGATGTAGACTGGACCCGATCCATTCACAGCATGGTACGTGAGCACCAATGGTTGCGGGCACACCTTCTCCTCTACACAGCTTTGTTCTGTATAGACAAATGGGATCAAAGAGAAGAGGTACTGTGAGATTCTTCTGCTCAGATAGTTCCCACACAGCTGGTGTCATGGAACTTTCTCTGGATTAAAATTGTGATAGTTTTGGACCTTAATCTAATAAAACATTATGGCATCATTATATTTTACCATTACACATTATCAATATAACAAAAGGAAACCGTGCATCCCTGGCAAACGGCTGAAGCCTTAAAGTTGGGATAATTGAGAATAGATTGTTCATCATTTCGATGGAAGCAACTCTGCAGATGAGGGATATTGGTAGATTCATCCAACAATTAAGGTTTACGGTTGTTGGGGGTTAAACTTTAGATGGACTAAATCTAAAATCCTGGAGAAAATGTTGATTCCTGAATATGTCCCATTACCAGTGTGCAGACAAATGGGTGGCGTTTGGACTGCCACATGTCAGCTGTTAGGGCTAGGTGGGAAAATGGTGGATTTCAACAAGTTGACAGTGTAGTCTGAGATTGTAGATAAGTGTTTATGATGCTTATGATTTCTGGAAATGGAAGAGAGAGGATATCAGGAAGAATCAAATGTTTCTTGCGTTTCTGGCATTAGGAAAGTACAACAATATTTTGGCAATAAATGTTTCCTGATCCCTGATTCCTGATAAGTATGATATAAAACGTGTCATTGTTGACATTGTTTACCGTGGGAAAGGAACAGAAGTTTTACAATTCGAAGTCCTATGTTGGTTCCACCCATCTGATTACTATGATAATTGCTCCAACTGTCCAGTAATATAGCATTGACAGGTTTACGTTGCAGTTATTTGAAAGCCTTGTCCTCATCTTAGATAATGTGGCGTCATACGGCCTCCATAGCATATGATAGCATACGACAGCTAAATAGATAGATGCATACTTTATTAATCCCAGAGGCTAAATTTCTATGTAATAGCTGATATAAAATGAATTACTCTGTGCTGTTTGTTTTGATATGTGAAGTACATTTTGTAACAATGCAATTTCTATTTTCTTTCACTGGTTTAATGTGGTTCTGTGCTAATTTTCATTTTTATTTTAAACTAACTTAACAGTCTCATTTTCAAGAGAGACATTGTTAAGCAACATAAGAGTAACAGACAAGATATAACATTTCATAAAAGTGCAAAAGGTTTCAGTTGAAGAGGCAGAGTTTTTTTTTCTTTTCTTTTTTTACCAAAGAGTACTTTAGACTTTAGTTTTTGTGACATGTAAGTGGATAAATTAGTTGGCAGTCTTCTTAATTATTAATGATATTATATAAATGATGGATTTATGAATATAGTTATACCAGTATTGTGTTCTGCACATGGAAAACGATGGTTTTACCTTTTTCAAAAAAGATGATCAATATGAAATTTAAATGGCCTTTCATCATTTCTATAGCAGTACGATCACCATAACTCAATGATCTGTGAAAAGGTTTATTATACAGCTTTTTTTAAATAACCTAGTTCTAGTCAGAAGTCAGATTGAGAGAAAATACAATAGTTTCACTCTTTGCTAATCTTTATCATCTCAAATTTTGCTGTTGAAGGTGGCAGAGGAATTGATGACTTTGGCATATGAAAACGGGATCAATTTGTTCGACACAGCTGAAGTGTACACTGCCGGACAGTGAGTATGATTGCTTATGACTTCTTGATTTCAAGAAAAAAGGATGATTTGACATACACAAATGTATATTCTTTGATGCATACATGTTTGTCTTTGTTTGAGTATAACAAAAACATGTACACTATGATGTCACACAAGCATACGTGGGGAAAAACAACCAAATACTTGAAAAAACAAAAAGATCAATTAAATTAAGCTGGCAATACTCAAGAAAACACAAACCATAGCAAATAACTTTATATGCGTTTGGCATGGAAATTCTTTGACAATTCGAATCCAGCCCGACATTGATGTTGTTGGATGGGAATAATCAACCACAATGTGTAACCAAAAGAAATACTTCCCCCTTTGTTTGTTTCCACCTTCCCACAATGTTATTAAATCGACAGGTAAGATTAAAAATCTTTCAAAATGATTCAAAATCATGAATCCCTGCACAATGATAGTGGACTCGTTGATAATACATAGTACCACGTTATGACCTGTGACTACAAACTACTAACAAAAACATATAGTTATATAACATATATACGTTTATATAAACACACTGACTTTAATCTTTCCAGAAGACCAGACTCTTATTGTTTCGTGGGTCCAGTGTTTTAACGGGTCTTCAGACCGTTGATTCAGCCGTTTTAAGCTGTGTGATGACGGTAGCTCCGTAGCGTGAAAGCTCAAGGGGATTGTTGGATCCGGTTGACCGAAAACAAATCAGGACTCAGGAAACATTTATTGGCATAATATGTCAGACATACAAGGAAGTTTGACTTGGCGGTTAGAGTCCAACAAAATAAACTGCATGTGGTGGGAGGTCTTATTCCTGATGGACCTCATCCTCCTACCAGATGGAAGGGGCACAAACGAGTTTTGTCCAGGGTGAGAGGGGTTGGCAACAATCTTTTTGGCTTGCTTCAGGGTCCTAGAAGCGAACAAGTCCTGGAGAGACGGAAGATTGCAGCCGATCACCCTCTCTGCAGAGTGGATGACACGCTGCAGCCTGCCCTTGTCCTTGGCTGTTGCTACAGCGTACCAGACGGTGATGGAGGAGCAGAGGATGGACTCGATGGCCATGTAAAAGTGCACCATTATTGTCTTTGGTTGAATTTCTTCAGCTGCCTCAGGAAGAACAACCTCTACTGAGCCTTCTTGGTGATGGAGCTGATGTTCAGCTCCCACTTGAGGTCCTAGGCGATGATGAAGCCCAGGAAACAGAAGGAATCCACCGCGGTGACGGGGGAGTCACCTAGGATGATGGGGGAGGGTGGGGCTCTGTTCTTCCTGAAATCCACAACCATCTCCACTGTCTTTAGAGTGTTGAGCTCCAGGTTGTTCTGGCTGCACCACGGCACCAGATGGTCAGACTCCTACCTGTAGGCGGGCTCATCCCCACCAGAGATCAGTCCAATGAGGGTGGTGTCATCTGCAAGCTTCAGAAACTTGATGGGCTGGTGACTGGAGGTGCAGCTGTTTGTGTACAGGGAGAAGAAAGGGAAAGAACCCAGTAGTCATTGAGTCCTGTGATCCTGGGCTTCTTGGGAACAGGGATGATGGTGGAGGCCTTGAAGCCGGGGTATGTGGCATGTCTCCAAGGAGGCGTTGAAGATGTCAGTGAACACCGGATGAACCCCTGATGGGCTGGGGAAGGAAAGGGTGGGGGACTGGGGCAGGTTGGTGGAGCTGTGGGGGATGGAATCAGGACCTTGTTACGGAGGCCCTGAAGTGCAAAACACAACGGCAAATAGGAAAACACAACGAAATTAACTTACGGAAAGGGTAGGGCCTTACAGCAGATGGCAGAGGACTGTTCCAGTTCTAGGGCTGCGACTGACGATGTTTCACGAAAACACAAGTCCACAAAAGCGCATATTGAGAAAGGGCCATGGTTTTCATACACTGGGAAGGTGCAGGACTGGACACAGGTGGAAACAATCAGGAACACGGCAGACAATCACAAGGGATGACACGACAGGGCAGGAAGTGAAGCTAACCCAGGTACAATGAGAAGCAGGAAACTACTAAATAAAACAGGAAACAAACCCACACTGTGACACCTATTTTAAATGTTGACAAAAATCGATGAACCTCTTGTTTACGAGAGACTGATTTGTTCACAGTTGACATTGTTAATAACTTACACTATTCTCAGCTGGATAATTTGTTGGAAAAGGCATGGATCTAATGTTGTTAACTTACTATATAGTCAATGTTTAACATTTCATTTTCTTTTCTCAGGGCCGAAGTGTCTTGGGAAGTATCATAAAGAAGAAAGGATGGAGGTAGAGTTTTCAAATTGTTTGTTGACATTATTACTCTAACTAAACCATCATATTAAAATGTTTAGTTTGAAATTGTCGACCATACATTTTGTATTATTTTCATAGACATCTGCCAAATTTAGCATTGCTTATGGAATAACATTACATTATTATTGTTTATGCTATTAAAGCATGTCATCTAGATCCCAGAAATCCCACAGAACATTGTCAACAAGAGACCATACAAATTATTTGTATACAATCATGTCAAATGTACATAGCTTGTCAAAATAAATACTGGTATTACTAATACAGCTGCAGTTGTTAAGGTTTGTGGTGGTGTTCGGACCCCAAAGCAGACACGGAGGAGCAGGTAGTGAAAAAAGGTAACAGTTTATTGACTGTGTAGGCAGGTGCAGGGTGAAACGGCAGGGTGTAGGCTGGTTGGAGGATCCACGGAGAGGCGAGGATGACAGCCGAGCGAAGAGGCACGCGGAGGTTCAAGATCTATGGAATAATCTGTTGAGTGGGCCAGATCTTTATAGTGGGGATGATTAGGATTGAGTGCCGGTGCGCCTCGTCAGTTGCAGGGAACCAGCCACGCCCCCTAGTGCTCACAGCACCTGCAAAGGGAAAGAGAAGGGAGAGATGGAGAGACGAAAACAACAACAAACCACACAATCCTCACAGCAGTAAACACAACAATTGAAGAGCCTTGGTGCATTTGCATGTAGAATCCTTTAGTTACTTCATCATTATGCATTATTTTACAGAGTAATTTGTAGTGGCTTGCATTAAACTTTTGAAAGGATGCGGGATCATTGCAGAAAGCAATATCCATCCATCCAACGTCAAACCGCTTATCCTGCACACAGGGTCACGGGGGGGGCTGGAGTCTATCCCAGCCTACTTCGGGCGAGAGACAGGGTACACCCTGGATTGGTCGCCACCCAATCACAGGGCTACACAGAGACATACAACCATTCACACTCACATTCACACACCTATGGGCAATTTAAAGTCCCCAATTAACATGATCTCCAGAGCATGTCTTTGGACTGTGGGAGGAAGCCAGAGAACCCGGAGAGAACCCACGCAGACACAGGGAGAACATGCAGACTCCACACAGAAAGGCCACTGGGCCACTGGAGTCAAACCCAGGACCTTCCTGCTGTGAGGCGACAGTGCTAACCACCACCGTGCGCCCAGAAACCAATATTCAATTCAATAAATTTTATTTTGTATTGTCCAAAATCACAAATTTCAAATTTGCCTCAGAGGGCTTTACAGTCTGTACACATACGACATCCTCTGTCCCGAAACCCACACATCAGCACAGCAAAAACTCCTCTAAAAATGAAAAAAGCCTTCCAAGAGGAAAAAAAGGGAAGGGAAGAAACCTTAGGGAGAACGTGAGAGGAGGGATCCCACTCCCGGAATGGACAGACTACGTACAAATTTTTATTTGGCCTAATTGTAAGAGAATGAAATCAAACACTTTGGTCCAGCTTTCAGATTGATGTGACTAAGAACACACTAAATGACTTGATTTCAGATTTCAAGAAAAAAGATACAATATGAACAAAAAAAAACACATGCAAAACACATTGCAATAATCAGGCCGTATGAACTACCAATATTAACTGTTATACTTATCAACTGAAGTTACAGCACAACACTGACAAAATTCTCAGTGCAACTAATAATTAAGTGCAGTTCGGCTTTGTGTCCCATCACCATGCCATCAGAAGTCAAGTCTTGTAAGGGCCTTGTAACCCAGCTCCTAAGCACAAACAGCCAGTCAGAGACAGTCTGTGAGGTGTGGGTCGGTAAGCGGGCTCCTGTACTTTAATTTGGTCATTTTATCTCTGAAAATGCCATCTCACAGAGGAAGTTAATCCTGTGAGTAGGCACTCACTTTCAGTGCACAGGAGAGGAAACCTCTCTCTTCCGGTCTTCCGGTCTGCCAAATGCTGTAGTGGTAAAATTAGAGGTGGCTAAACAATGAATTTTGTAATCATACAGACCTCGAGGCGATGCAACGCTATGCAATGCAACGCTATGCGAACAAAGCATTGCGACTCTTTAAGGCTGTCCGGGCTATATTGCATTATGTTGTCAGTTAGTCATTTACAATCAATGACAGTGAATAAATGTGTTTACCGGTCCGTGGGCCGCACCACAGAAAGCTTATATATATTTTTGAAAAATGTTTTATTTTGAAAATTGACCGGATTTTCTTCTAATTCTGTGCGCTCGTCCCTCTGACATATTCCCTACGCGTCACCAGGCGTTTTTCTTGTCCGTGCACGGCAGTTTCGCAGACCAGCGAACACAGAGCGCACGACTACTACCCCCCCCCACCCCCGTCGATCGTTCCGCCACCCCCCTACCCCGTTCGAGATTCTCGACCGGTCTGCAAAATATTGTCTGACATGAAACCGGTCCATGAAGTAAAAAAGGTTGGGGACCACTGCTCTATAGGACCTTAAAGAAATGGCCTCTGGAAACAGGCCCAGGGTGTTACAGCTGAAAAGTATAATATAAGAAGAAACCATGCTTCAATTAAACACTTCCTCTGTTCTTTAACCATTAGAGAGACATCCAATGTCAACAAAACACAACAGGACAATTGCTAGATTAAGAACTGTGACGTTCATTAAGCTGAATCCCATGTCACACTCAGCAGTGCTAACTGGAATAAGATGGTGGATATTCGTGAGTGGTGCAAGGTTTTCTGGAATGATGCTTGAGTTATCCTTGAAGTCCCTGAAGCCTTTAAGAATTTTTTCTGTCATCAACCTTGTTCAACCAACTTGTTTCACACTGGATTTCCCATATGGTTCCTGTAGGGGAACAGGCCAGTTTGCTGGATGAAGAACTTTAAAGTGGTCCAGCAATTTACTGTACTGGGCTTTGTTTTCAACTGATACACGTGTTGCCTAGATGAACCTGTAATGAACAATATGTCCTGTGAGATCTCCTCTAATGTGTCATACATTAAGGCTAAATCACATAGGAATTCCTCTTGCTCCATATTGGCTCCATTTTGGCTCTATGGACTTGTCATTTTCATCTCTTGTGACATCCACTGTAGAAGCACTTACGTGGTTATACAGGGCCTTGTAGGAATTCCATACAGCTTTCACAGTTCTGAAACTGCTGGCGGTCCATCTGACATCAAGGACCCTCCCAATCTTTTGCAGATTTACTTAAAGTTGTCAATTTACACACTGTTGTACTGTGTGTAAATTTTGTCTAAAAAAGACTTGAAATGATTGACATTATTAGTGTGCTTGACTGTGTCTCTAACAGCCAATTCCAGCCTATGGTTTAGGCAGTGCCACACATTGAGATGTGGACAGGAGTTGTAGACGTGCAGCTACCCCTGACTTGTCACAGCATGTCACTTGCTCAATCACTGGCAAACGCAATGAAATTGTCTTTGATGCAATCTTCATCCATTTCCCAAGTCTGGAGGCACTGTAGTAAACTCTTAGTTATATTCTCAGCCGACTGGCTTTCCAGCTGGGTACTTTGTTAAATAAAATACCAGGGCTGATTTCTTGCTTAGAGTTGTGGATTTATCAGTAAAAACATTAAACCTTTGGTCTTCAGTTACTATGTGGTTCAGAACTTTCTTTCTCATTTCATCAGTTGTGTGGTCTATTATATTTTTTGCAGTAAATCTGGAATGAAGAGGGATACCCATGTCAAGACACTTTTCTTGCTGAAGCACCACAAGTTCGTCGTAGTCTGTGAATGGCTTGTTCTTCTTTGCCATGAAGTATGCTGTTCGAAACAGTGAGGCTGTCTTCTGTGATTCACTCTCCACTTGTTTTTGCATGGAAACATCCATTGTTTGTTTTGTGTTCACTGTTTTCGGCTGCCTTGTAGCTCTTTGATGTTGCATGTTTGGAAAATTTGGTTCTCAAGCATGACAGCTGATATTGGTGATCACCATTGTGACTGTATGTGACTTGGGTTGCTGCCCGTTCATTTGAGACACAGACCATACAGTGCAGATTAAACTGATTCAGACTACAGCGTTTATATGTTCAACAATATGAAACGTAGTCTTGGGTGTTTTAAAACGACACCAAATTTATTTCGGATTATTCCAACGGACGCAGGCGCAGGGAACTTTGAGGTGGGTAAACGCTATGTAAATGCTATTTCCAAAATTCCAGAGGTGCGTAAACGGCGTTTACCCTCCACTACTCAGGAGCCCTGGGTGTGTCGGAAATAAAATGAATGCAACCATCACTGGCTGCAGTTAGTTAACTAGATCGGAGAGAGCGAGATTGTGGTTAAGAATGGAGAAAACTTTTTGCATTGGAAGTAAAAAAAAACCCAGAGGCGCGACATACGGAGCTGAACAGAGGAGTTCCTTCGCAAATTCTGTGTCAAACAGAAGGGAGGTGAGTGGCAAACCACCACTTTTAACACGGCTAGACTAAGCTAGATGCTAGGCTACTTCAATCTCAACATCTACCCTTGTAGTTGAGAGCACAGCAAAGTGCACAAGGACAGCAGGAAGAGTCACTAGTTACATTACATTACATGTCATTTAGCGGACGCTTTTATCCAAAGCGACGTACAATAAGTGCATTCAACCATAGGGTACAAACTCAGGAGAACAAGAAACAAGAAAGTGCAATTTCCTCAAATAAGCCAATTTATAATTTGCTATAGATGAGTGACGTTACAAGTACAATTTAAGTGCTACAATTTGTTAGTCTTTAGTCGAGGTAGAGTCTGAAGCAGGGCTGTAGTGGAGGGTAAACGCACGTAAACGCCGTTTACGCACCTCTGGAATTTTGGAAAAAGCGTTTACGCACCTATAAATAGCGTTTACGCACCTCAAAGTTCCCTGCGCCTTGTATTCTTCCGTTGGAATAATCCGAAATAAACTTGGTGTAATTTTAAAACAGCTGAGACTACGTTTCCTATTGTTGAACATATAAACGCCGTAGTCTGAATCATGTTCATCTGCGCTGTATTACGGTCTGTGACCATCCAATCAGTGCCTTGCGGCTGCAGCAGCGACACCAATCAGGATCCAGGAGGTGTGTAAACATACACGCTGTGGATCAGCCACGGGGGGGGGGGGGGGGGTTGTAGTAGTCGTTGCGGGCGGAACGACCGACGGGGGGGTAGTAGTCGCGTGCTCTGTGTTCGCTGGTCGTGCACGGTGAAAGGACAAGAAAAACGCCAGTGACGCGCGCACATAATTAGGAGAAGATCCAGTCAATTCAAAGGCTCTGCCTCCCCTGTCATCATGAGCGGGAGCAAAGCTGTTGCTTCACTGAATAGGCCTATATGCTTAATCAATTATTTTAGGTCATGAAAGGTGTAGAGTAGCCTGTAAGCGTTAGAAAACAAGTCAGTTCTCAATGTGAAAACATGCTGTAGGCTATTTATGATGACATAGGTAGTACATGAGTGTTCCTTTAACTTATGTTGTCAGTGTAATTGACAGGCTGCTTAACTGGTTAACTCTTAAATTCAACATATTTTTTCAGGCAGTGAGAGGACAGGCAATGATGCAGAGAGCACAGGGAGAGGACAAACACCAGGTCGAATAGAGAGAGAAGCACAGAGGAGCCATGAACCCCAGAACACGCATTCTGGGGTTCATGGCTCCTCTGTGCAAGGCAGGACCTGACGTGGAGGACAAGGAGGCTCTCTGGGCACTACTGTAAAAAGGAGATAGTTCTTAATCTGCAATTGTGTTGTTGTGTTGTGTTGACATACTTTTCTTTACTGTTTTCTTAAATGTAATAAACTACAAACTACTAACACATTTATTCATTGTCATTGATTGTATATGACTTTTACTGATAACATAATGCAATATAGCCAGGACAGCCTTACAGAGTCGCGACGCTTTGTGTTGCGTTGCTTCGCATCGCGTCGAGGTCTGTATGATCACAAAATTCCCCACCTCTAATTTTACCACTACAGCACTGTTCTGAAGAGGTGTGTCTTTAGTTTGCGGCCTGGTGTCTTCAGAGAGCTCGTTCCACCATTTCGGCGCAAGGACAGCAAAGAGTCGTGATCTAGTTGAGTGTTTTGCTCTCAGTGAGGGAGGAACGAGTAGTTTTGCAGATGCAGAGCGGAGAGTGCGGGTTGGGATGTAGGGTTTGACCATGTCCTGGATGTAAGCTGGACCCGATCCATTCACAGCATGGTACGTGAGCACCAATGTTTTGAACTGGATGCGGGCAGCCACCGGTAGCCAGTGAAGAGAGCGGAGGAGTGGAGTAGTGTGGGAGAATTTTGGAAGGTTGAAGACCAGTCGAGCTGCTGCATTCTGAATGAGCTGCAGAGGTCGAATGGCGGTGGCAGGGAGACCAGCCAGGAGGGAGTTGCAGTAGTCCAGGCGGGAGATGACAAGAGTCTGAATCAGTACCTGCGCTGCCTTCTGAGTGAGAGGGGGACGTATTCTCCTGATGTTGTAGAGCGTGTATCTACAGGATCGCGTTGTCGCAGTGATGTTGGGAGTCAGGGAGAGTTGGCTGTCGAGTGTGACGCCGAGGTTCTTAGCGGTCAAAGTGGGCGTTAGCACGGAGTTCCCAAAGTTGACTGTCAGGTCCTGGGTAAGCGACTCTTTTCCGGGAAAGAGAAGTAGTTCAGTCTTGTCGGGTTGATTTTCAGATGGTGGGCGGACATCCACTGAGAGATGTCAGTTAGACAGGCAGAGATCCGAGCCGCCACCTGGGTGTCCGAGTGAAGGAAGGAGAGAATTAGTTGGGTGTCATCTGCATAGCTGTGGTAAGAGAAGCCATGCAAGCGAATGACAGCGCCAAGAGAGTTGGTGTAAAGCGAGAACAGGAGGGGACCCAGCACGGAACCCTGAGGAACTCCAGTAGTAAGAGGACAAGGTTCTGACACAGATCCTCGCCATGTTACCCGGTAGATGCGGCCGTCGAGGTAGGACGAGAGAAGGGAGAGAGCAGAGCCTGTGACACCAAGTTTCTGAAGGGAGGAAATAAGAATCTGGTGGTTGACCGTGTCAAATGCAGCAGAGAGGTCCAGAAGGATGAGGACAGAGGAGAGAGAGGCGGCTCTAGCAGTGTGGAGTTGCTCTGAGACAGCAAGGAGAGCGGCCTGTGGAGTGGCCTGCCTTGAAACCTGACTGGTGGGGGTCAAGGAGGTTGTTACAGTGGAGATAAGAGGAGAGTTGATTACAGATAGCACGTTCAAGGGTTTTGGACAAAAAGGGAAGAAGAGAGACCGGTCTGTAGTTGTTTTCTTCAGAAGGGTTGAGGGTAGGTTTCTTCAGGAGGGGGTTGACTCTTGCCTCCTTCAGAGAATTGGGAAAACAGCCAGATAACAGAGTGTTGTTGATGAGACAGGTGAGGAACGGAAGAAGGTCAGGTGCGATAGATTGTAGAAGATGTGATGGAATGGGGTCAAGAGGGCAGGTGGTCGGACGGGCAGAGGTTACTAGGGTAAGAATTTGGTTAGGAGAGAGGGCGGTGAAAGAGGAAAGTGAGGGCGAAAGAGGTGAGGTCGGTGGGACGCGAGAAGTAGGAAGTGGGTTTGAGAAGGAGGAGCGTATGTCAGCTATTTTCTTGGTGAAGTAGTTGACAAAGTCTCCCGGAAGTTGATCAGAAAAGCAACCACGAGGCCCAAAGATCCATAGCTGAGGTGGGAGAATCTGTCCACAGAACAACTATTAGCCGTGTACTCAGAAAATCTGGCCTTTATACAAGAGTGGCAAGAAGAAAGTCACTGTTTAAAGTTAACCATAAGAAATCCTGTTTGGAGTTTGCCACAAGCCATGTAGAAGACACAACAAACGTGTGGAAGAAGGTGCTTTGGTCAGATGAGACCAAAATTGAACTTTTTGGCCTCAATGCAAAACTATGTGTGGTGGAAAGTGGCAACACTGCTTCTCACCCTGAGCACACCATCCCAACAGTAAAATATGGTGGTGGTAGCATCATGCTGTGAGGATGCTTCTCTTCAGCAGCTACATGCAAACTAGTCAGAATTGAGGTAAAGAGGGATGGGAGCCAAACACAGGGCAATCCTTGTATAAAATAGGATGAAGTGTGCAAACAACTTGACACCGGAGCGGAAGTTCGTCTTCTAGCAGTACAATGGCGCTAAACATACAGCCAGAGTATGTAACCCAAGAAGAATGGACGTACCTTTTCATCTCTAGATGTGAAAAAATGTTGAAGACACCAAAAGTCTTGTAGCTGTAATTGCAGCAAAAGGGGTTTCTACCAAGTATTGACTAAGGGGTGTGAATACTTGCATCCAAAAGATGTCTTCTTTTCCTCATTATTATTTCTGTCACAATAAAAATGTATTTTTGCAGTATTAAGTACTATTCATGTTATGTTGATCAAATGGTAAAAAGTATATTTGAATTACAGTTTATTTGAAATACAGTTTATAAAGGTAAAAAATGGGGAAAAGTTAAGGAGTAAATACTTATGCAAGGCACATCTCATGTGTGGAAAGTTATGGTGCACGTGGGGGTGAGGGGGGGCTGTGTATAGTTATTAATTTTTTGTGTTTTTGTACATTCAAGTTTAAAAGTAAAAGCAAAATGGTATTATAAAAGCAACTTATTTAACTGTCAAAATATGTATAATATATCAATATTGAATAATCTACCAGACTTACCTGTTTATGTGGAATTAGGTGTTCCTGATCATTTCTGCGTTATTTTAACGTTTAGATATTGTTTCGAATTGTCATTTTAAAATACCAGTCTAATTTCTACTTCTATTCATGATTTCAAATGCAGACGTTCCAGTTTAGTCATCACCACCAAAATCTTCTGGGGCGGAGAGTATGTACTTGTAATTTGTTTCTTTATCTTGCTTGCTTTTTAATTAATTCATTTATTGCTTGTGTGCTTCTTCCTTTATTTCTTTTTATTTTAGATTCCTTTCTTCCTTGCTTGTTTTCTATGTTTACAATTAATGCATGAAACAGGTTGCCTACTGTGTATAAGCTGAGTTATTAAAACGAGTTAACATTACATGCATTAATGTGTAAGGAACCCAAAGGCATGTTCTCATTTTACAATAAAAGTAAAAATGGAATCTGTTTTTAGAACTAGAGAGACATGTGCACCATTAACACTAGCATAACTCAGAGACAGTTAAAGATGAACACCTGAAGTGGCAGCTGCAGCTGGTAAATGTTTTTCCCCCCAACAGCTGGGAGGATTATATTTTGACCTAAAGAATCAGGTTCCAGTCCAGTCACAATCCATTATCTCCGACTTCATTAAAATGCTTGTTCCAAGCATACAACTTTCTTGTATGCAAGAAACCATAAGGAGGGCATAAACTTCAGGTTTCTGCACTACAGTTGCTATAGATGGCAATATTAGATTATATGGGTTACTTTTCTCTTTAGGCTTAGTCGATAAAGTAAATTGTGACGATTGTTTTATAACATTTTAGCAACTGTGTGTGCAATTCCTCAAGCCACAAATGTTACTACACATTAGAAATGTGTCAACCTAAATGATACAATCCTTGTCATAATAGATATAGGTTAGTCGTAAATATTTTGTGGGGTTCTGCTGAAAATCTATTTAATCAGTTTCCATCTACGGTGGATGTTAAAAATAATTTTAAATGGTCTAGATTTCAAACCTTGACCTCTGACATTCAAGATGTTGGTTTTTCAGAGCAGAAATGGAAAGAGGATTGTCACGAAAACATATAATCGAAGGTAAGATCTTTTTCTTTTCTTCAACAGAATGACAATCACAAAAGCATTTTGTCATTATAACCAAACAAAAAACTAAGCTGTTAATCACTGCATGTGTCACCATAACCATATTACACCAGAATGCTTATGTGTTTTGTTTGTATTGTGATAATATGTCATGCGTATGCAATTCTCTTCATAAAAAAGGTCTAAAGGCATCACTAGAGCGACTTCAACTGGAGTACATAGACGTGGTGTTCGCTAATCGGCCAGATCCTAACACACCTATTGAAGGTGGGTGTGCTTATCAAATACAGATGTAAGTTTGTTCTCAAATTATGTTGAGGATTGCTTAGGGATAATGGTTCTAAATATTAAAACAGAACATATTGTTAGACATAAATACCTGTTCTGATTTACCATTACACTTCTAATAAAACAAATATAAAGTCTGTTGTTGTCAGTACAGTTGGTGCGGTGCAAGTGGCCATATTGCAGTTTTGGTCCTTGGCAACTACACGGAAGATCTGAGTGCCGAGCTGTGCAAGACTTAACATTTATAGTAACATTATGGACAGGTCCACATTTCGATGGGTTCTGGTTTTGAAAAGTAGAGTAGTCCAAGTGTGGTCGCCCCAAACATGACTTTTATGAAGCTGGGAGATGTTTCATGGGTTGTAGGAAAGAAATTATTTATAATCTAGGTCAATATTTCCCAAAAGTCACCTGCATTATAAAATTGCCCCATTCTGCTACTTGCTGTGCATTCAGGGTAAGTGCTTACATTGCTAACACTGTACACACTCTGTACTCTACCTCACAAAAAGATCTCTTCTGCAAGTAATTTCTCTTAGATGTATCAGAAATGCATTGCAAAGCTGTAAACTGAAAGTAATTTCAAAAGAGTGCTCAAAATACAGCAAAAAAAATATGGAAGGCCAAAATTCATTGAACTTCATAACCTTCTAGCTATAATGTATAATTGGTAGAGAAGGAAGCTTAACTGCACAAGATTTTATTAGCTGAATTACAATACAGGAAAAGATGGAAGCTAAACAATAAACAATAATAGCTGGAGTAGTAGTAGTTGGAGTAGTATTAGAAATAGCAATAGGTATTTCAACAACAACAGCTTAATTCTGAGCTGCATGTTAAGATATAGATAATCATTGGGTGAGATAAAGGGGGTTGGGAGACAGAATCTGAGTGCTTGGCGTTCATACTAAGAGGTTATTTAATAATAGGCCTCATCACAATAAATGGGATTTAAGACAGCTGAGTGCAGTTCCTTTGATACCAATCAAATGTTCTAGTCTCTGCAACAGGATACAATGGTCTATGGTATCAAATGTGGCACTGAGGTCCAGCAAGACAAGAAAAGAGATGAGTCCTTGGTCCGATGCAAGTGGAAGATCATTCGTAATTTTCACCAGTGCTGTTTCTGTGCTATGATGCACTCGAAATCCTGACTGGAAATCCTCGAACAAAGCATTGTTTTGTAGAAAGTCACATAATTGATTTGCGACGGATTTCTCAAGGATCTTAGAGAGTAAGGGAAGATTAGAGATAGGTCTGTAGTTAGCCAACACCTTTGGAGCAAGACTAGGTTTCTTAAGAAGAGGTTTAATTACAGCTACCTTGAAGAACTCTGGTTACATGTCCTGTCAACAAAGACAGATTCATAATATCTAATAATGACGTGCTAACTAAAGGAAAAACGTCCTTAAGCAGCTTAGTCGGAATCGGATCCAAGAGACAAGTAGAAGATTTAGACTTCGAAATTAAAGAAGTCAGTTGATCAAGGTTGATGGAAGAGAAGGCATCCAAGCAGCCATCAAGGCCCACTGCTGCATCCAAGGTTCCTACATTTGAGGACAGGTCGGCACTGGTTGAAAGCAGGAGACCATCAATTTCCTCTTTGATAGTCAGAATCTTATCATTGAAGAAATTCATGAAGTCGTTACTACTGAGGTCCAAAGGAATACACGGCTCGACAGAGCTGTGACTCTCTGTCAGTCTAGCTACAGTGCTGAAGAGAAACCTGGAGTTGTTTTTATTTTTCTCTATTAATGATGAGTAATAAGATGCTCTTGCATTACGGAGAGCCTTCTTATATGTTTTAAGGCCGTCTTGCCAAACTAACCTAGATCCTTCTGATTTGGTGGAACGCCATAATTGTTCAAGTTTCCACACAGTTTGCTTTAGGTTCCGTGTTTGAGGGGTATACCAAGGAGCAAACTTCCTTCTTGTTGCTATTCTTCTTTCCAGAGGAGCAATAGCGTCCAGCGCCACTCTCAAAGAGCCTGTAGAAGCATCGACAAAATGATCGATCTGGGACGGACTGAAGTTCTCACAGGAGTCTTTTGATATCTTGAGACAGGGCACTGAACTTAGAGCAGAAGGAATAGCTTATTTAAATGAGGTTACAGCGGTATCCGATAAGTGTCGACTGTAGAAACCTTTGGCAGGAGGAGGAGATTCTGGTAGTAGAAATAGAAATGGTCAACGGTTATCAGGCAATGGTCCGACAGGAGAGGGTTCTGTGGGAAAATTGTTCAATCCCAATCCCATACACAAGAACCAAGTCCAGAGTGTGGTTAAAACAGTGAGTGGGTTTATTTACACTCTGACAGAAAGCAATTAAATCTAACAATGAAAGAAATGCAGTACCAAGGCTGTCGTTGTGGACATCCACATGAATGTTAAAATCACCCACAATAATTACCTTGTCCGTTTTAACCCTTCAATGTCCTCACCAAGAAAAAAGTAATGAAAAAATTATTTCTTTGCATATTTTACTTCTTTGGGGCATTAATAACAACAATAAAAAAGAACAGTTGAGATGTAACTTTATGGTAAAGTACCAAATAGATATGCAAATACCAAAACAGTAGAATTAGTCAAATACAATGCTAACTTATGACAGTAATAAACAGCATAAATGTAAGATACACTTAACACTTTGGTAAAATTGGTGATATGCCATCTTGTTTTTCATCTTGCTTGTTGAATCTCATCAAACTGTGGGCAACTGCCAGGCGGAATCTTTTGAGAGGCATTGGTTTCTCATTCAAATGTAGCAAATGTATTCAAATTCCCTTCAACTTTCTCTATTTTCAGCTATTTTAAAAAATTCAGTTCAGCTTTCAGCTTTTTGCATTCCAACGCATTTTCAGGATCAGGAATCAGGAAACATTTATTGCCAAAATATGTCAAACATACAAGGAATTTGTCTTGGCGGTTGGTGCGTGGCAGTAGACAGTGTAACAAAAGACAGCAGTGCACAAGTAATAAAGTAAAATGAAATGAAATGCTAAAGCAATGGGTTAGTAGGATAAGGCTATGGGTTAGTATAAAATAAGAGAATAAAGTTAAAGTTAAAAATTAAAAATATTAAAAAAGTTACAAAATATTAAAAAATAAAGTGCACTATCGAACAAGTGACAAAGTGACGAGTGACGACAAAGTGACGAGTGACAACAGGCTGCAGCCTGCCCTTGTCCTTGGCTGTGGCTGCAGCGTACCAGACGGTGATGGAGGAGCAGAGGATGGACCCGATGATGGCCGTGTAGAAGTGGACCATCATCGTCTTTGGCAGGTTGAATTTCTTCAGCTGCCTCAGGAAGAACAACCTCTGCTGAGCCTTCTTGGTGATGGAGCTGATGTTCAGCTCCCACTTGAGGTCCTGGGTGATGATGGAGCCCAGGAAACGGAAGGAATCTACAATAGTGACAGGGGCGTCGCACAGGGTAATGGGGGAAGGTGGGGCTCTGTTCCTCCGGAAATCCACAACCAACTCCACTGTCTTTAGAGCGTTGAGCTCCAGGTTGTTCTGGCTGCACCACGACACCAGATGGTCAGACTCCCACCTGTAGGCGGACTCATCCCCACCAGAGATCAGTCCAATGAGGGTGGTGTCATCCGCAAACTTCAGGAGCTTGACGGACTGGTGACTGGAGGTGCAGCTGTTGGTGTACAGGGAGAAGAGCAGAGGGGAAAGAACGCAGCCTTGGGGGGAACCGGTGCTGATGGTCCGAGAGGCTGAGACACATTTCCCCAGCTGTTAGTGAACAGAAACCAACTCATTGTTTTAACCACACCCTCTGGTGTATGGTATTGGGATAGGATATTTAACAGTCTTCCCACAGAACCCTCTTTGTACTTTAGTCCAAGTGAAAATTGTGATTTTTGTTTTACACCGTGTTTTCAGTCTGCCTAACATTGTTTCAAAGTACTATGCATGTTGGTAATCAAATGGGAAAAAGTCTATTTAAGTCTATTTGATTTTCAGTTTGTTAAAGTACAAAATGGCAGAGTCCAAGGGGGTAAATAATTATGCAGGGCATTGTACTACTATAACTACTGCTAATTTTATAATTATCACTATGTACTAGTACTAGTACTAGGGGCGACATGGCGCAGGGGTAGAGAGGGTGCGCTGGGAACCGCAAAGTTGGTGGTTCAAGTCCCGGCTGCCCCATGTCCCATGTCGAAGTGTCCCTGAGCAAGACCCTTAACCCCTAATTGCTCCCCAGGCAAAAATGTTGTAACCATTGGTTAAAAATGTAATGTAAGTCGCTTTGGATAAAAGTGTCAGCTAAATGACATGTAATGTACTTCTACTAATACTTCTGTTATTTCAACTACTACTACAAACACTACTAATGGTACCAATACTAACACGATTACTAGTAGTTCTATTACCACTATTATTACTGCTACTACCTCTACTACGACTACTTTCTACAATAAAAACACTAAGCCTCCAACTCTTCCACTTATATATTATGACTAGAAGGTTGTGCAGTCCATTGCTTTTCTCCTTCAAAATGTTTCATGCAGGTAATTTATTGCAATTCCCGTTCCAACATGGAAAAGCCTTTTCTCTTTTAAAGTAATATTGACAATAAAAATATTGTTAATAATAATAACACTCAGTTTTTTACATATGGGATCAGTTCCTGACTATAAAACCCCCAATCTACCCTCACAAGCTTTTGCAAAATAAACTTTTCTATCCATTCCTATCTTTGATTAATGTATATATGTCAGTCTGTCTGTCTATCAACAACAGCTAAAATATGATGAACTTTGTTTGAAAACCATTCCAAAAGGTCTACACAAGGATCTAGCGCTCATTCATCTCCGTTGACGGCTGCTTGCCATTCTTCACACTGAATTGAAATTGCCAAAACTGGTTGCACAATGGAGTAGTTCAACTGTTGGAGTTCATTTAGACACCCTGCGAGGATGGAATTTTAAGTATTTTCTTTTTAAACTTTAACTTCGGTTCAAACCCATACCAGAGAATATTTTTTGTTGAAAGGGTAGTGAATATCAAAACTGACTCAGAATCCATCCTTGTCCTCCCACTTTGTGTGTTTTTTTTTTGTCTTTTGTAGTCAGACATTTGCTGAAAAGTAGTTACAAAGCTAATTTGCAATTCTTTGTAGAGACGGTGAGAGCAATGACCCATGTGATCAACCAGGGGATGGCCATGTATTGGGGGACATCCAGATGGACCTCTGTGGAGATCATGGTGAGTTCACGCAAGTCAAAACAAGCCAGAGTACCTGGAGAGAACTCACGCAGACATGGGGAGAACATGCAGACTCCACACAGAAAGGCCACTGGGCAGAGTTGAACCCAGGACCTTCTTGCTGTGAGGCAACACACTGCATGAAAAGTGAGATTTTCGTCCCCGTAAACGCCCGGAAATCTCCCTAATTTCCGACAATTTCCGACAATTTGCAACCCGCGCACGTCGCGTTTGTCTGTGCCACAAATTGTCGGAAACGAACCATGACGTATGTGGAGAGCTGGCGGAGGTGCGAATGGCCCGAATTAGCATATGAATGCAGCGAAACCGCGGGTGGCCGAGCCGAGCGGGCTTGAATATCCTTACTCCTTATTGGATGAAACCACAATTTACTAACAAATAAAATCACTTGTGATTGGCAGCAAAACCCCACCTGGGCAGACCATGATGTTCATGATTGGATGAAAACACAACTTTCAATCACTCGTGATTGGTTGGCAGATCTGTCGCTATTGGTCACCCGCCTCATTTTATTTATATATTCATATTATGCTGTATATTCATTTCATTGTTATCCTATGTAGGCTACTACACTATTATTAGGATATCAACCAGGACATCAATGAATTTATAGAGAAAATGAACATTTGCCACATGTTTATGCAAAGAAAGAGCTTTATTAACAACACACAATCAAGAACTACATACAAAGTGAGGATCTGCCCACACTTGGGTAAAGGTGGTTTAAAAAACTACAGCTCTGTAAACTGTCTGTTTGCCTCCTCGGGGTTGTAGACCGTCACTGGCGGCGTGTTTTCCGAGGCAGGTCTGTTGTGCAGGCGCCTCGTGTGTGTGTGGCGACCGTACAATCCACCCCGAGAATCCGCCAACAATGCCATCCCTTCCGTCCGACGTGAGCTCTACGGTGGCGGATTTCCAGAGTTCCACCTCGTCATCAGGCAGCACACTTTGTCTCGATTCCAGCAGCTGTAAAAACAACAATGAATCAGTACTGTGCGATGCGTACGGACACGACACATCGATCAATGCACCTGAAAAAAGTCAGCAAATAAACTCCCCGCTTTCTTCTCGCTCGACTCCGCGCTGAATCCTTCGCAGCTTCCGCCCGCAATGAGTGTTCCGGCTGGAAAACCTGAAGCTCCTGCGTACCGTCTCAAAATACGTCTCACAGGCGGCTGGAAAACAATTAAATGAGTGTGGTATGAATACAAAAAAAATCATACGCAAGTCACAGTAACATTTAACAAGGAAGGAGAAACAGTGTCACTTACACACAATGACGTCGTCTAAATCTGGACTTTTCCCGTAGCAAATATGAGGTCACCGCCTCATTATGAGGCGAGATTAGTCTGTGAAAACAAAATGTACAGTTATGATCGGTATCTATACGTATATATTTCCTTATAGCGCAGAATGAAAGAATATTCTGTAAATCTTACCCTTGCTCCGGTTCGTAGCGCCTGTAGTTCGTCTCGGAGTTGTGAAGACGGCGCACCGCTTCCTGTAAACGACACGGCAAAGAAAATACACTTTAACAAAGCTGTTTCTGCTCACTTGTAAGGCTAATAGGCTACTCTTAGCTTTCGTTTGAGGCTACGCTACTTTTAGCTTAGCTTGCAGTCATCGAACGTATTCTTACCCGATCTTGGGATTGTGCGCCCGTCTCCTCTTCTTTGAGTCAGTTCCTCTCCTCTATGGACAGAAACCTGGAGAGTCCCGAACGCTCCAGTGGAGCGAACCGCTCGTTGATATCGGCAGTTTGTTGTTGGAGTTGACGAGACGATCCACTGAGAGCATTCAGCAGTTTCTTCTCGTCTGTCTGCGGACTGGCCGAAAGTTGGTGACCGCGGAGAGGAGTTGAAGGCGAGTTGAAGGCGAGACGTCGTCCAGCCATTATTCACGAACCAGCAAAAACCAAACAAAGGAACTGGAGATACAGTTCTTCTGAATATAGTAACACACTGTTTGTATGCTCGTCTTGCAAGTACTGCTGTATCAGTCATGCCTATGACCTCACACGTGATTGGACGAGGAGTCTAAGGATCCTCCAATCACATACGAGGTTATTGTTATACGGAAGAACCAGTATTTTAGGAAGACAAATGGTTGGGACTTTGAAACCGCTGATATGCTTTATGTAAAGCAGTGTTTTGGTGTCAGCAGAACGACTTTCCCTAGAAAACTGTACAGTGGTGCCTCTTTCTCCATTCCACCAGACAATCTTGGATGAGTCTGACATACATGCAATGTTGACAATGTATCATCAGATGTACCCTTGTGTCACTGAGGTTGAATGTTTTGCCATGACATGTAAACGGGTAACATATATGAATGTAACTTACTCAATCGATAGATGCAGAGCATAAAGGTCAGCATATGTTCATTCTAAGTGGTGTGGAAACACTAACAGTTTTGAGGAACCCGTCCTTGACCCTCTAGCAGAACTACGACTAGCCATTATAAAGCAGTTTATAGTTGTTAATGTTGTGTCAAAGGGTACGGCATTTAAACATGTTCTTGCACAAGTTTCCTGGCTTCATCCCCACCCGGACAGACATTTTTATGGAAAGCCAATAGAAGTTTGGGGCTTGCAGGGAACAGACACGTCATACCCAGCATCATTTCTGCCAGTTGAGCGCAGTGCTAGAAGATGTGTGGTTAATACATCCTCTGTGCATTTAAGTAAGACCAAAGAAAAGGTCACTGTAGTCCTGCCACTATGCACTGTAGTTGAGCTCTAGGAGACTGTGATCTCTGCAGACCCCTCATGCTGATTCAAATGTTGTTTGCATGGAATGCTCATTTTACCTTGATTAAAACAATTTTTTTAAAGAAGTTATTTTGTGTATCTTTTTTACATAACATTTGCCATTGCTAATGGCGTACACAGTAATCTAGCATATTTGAATTAAATAAATCAATTCAAGCCAAAATGTAAGAGTCTATAATTAGGCTACTGAGCCTGATCTATTTGTACCAGAGATTTTCTTACCTTTTAAAAAAATGTCACCTGGGCTAAAACTCCCTCTGCAACCCTGATTTGCATTTGTATAGCTCACAGCATTTTCATTTACATGTCAAAGCCTCCCCTAGAATTAGGAGGAGGGGAGTCATGGGGGGACAACTGCCAAGGGAGGCCCACGTCAATTTCTGACAATTTACGGCAGTTTTCGGTGTTGCCCGCAAATTGCCGCAAACCTGAAATTCCACAATTTACAGTGCCGCATATTGCCGAAAATCCCACTTTTCATGCAGTGACAGTGCTAACCACCACACCACCATGCCGCAAATTAGGAGAAGAAGGGGGGACTGAGGTTGTGTTTGTGAAATGGCAAATGTGGTGGAAATTTGTGGAGCCTCACCCCACGCAGGCTCAACAATTTTCCCCCAACAGCAAAGATCAAAGTTTAGGTAACATGAGGGGAGAGGGGTTGAAGCAGCAGTGGTTGTATGTGGTATTATTGTCATTACTAATGGTTATTGTAGGAGCCAAATGTTTCGGTCAAATGTCTTTACTCTATATGTACACTGGGTGGCGCTGTTCTCGGGTCGTGTGCTCACCTATATAAGCGATTAGGTAATTATTAACATCAGGTGTTGGACTTCGGAAAAGGAAAGGGTTTTGACCGCTGTTGCGGTAAGAGTGAGTTGGCCCCACTGTGAACCACAGCGTATGTGTACACGGCACAAACAAATAAACTAAAATGAATAGCAAAGTGAATATTTCAGTGGATTATGCCTGCAATCAAAAGGTGAACACAAAGGTAATTGAGGCTGACAGAAGACTGACAGCGCATCAGACAGATCAATCAAGAGAAAAACAGCACCTCTGTAGCCCAAATAATAGACCAGGCACCTTTTTATATAGATATTATAGATATCTATCCCTAATCGTTGGTTGCTGTGTGCTTTGGTTGTGTGCAGTCATCTGTGAAAGAAATATCCTACATTAGCGTTGTGTGATTTAGGTCACGTACTCAGCCTAAGTAACAGAAACCGATTGGCTTTAGCCAAACCGGTCTATGATGATGTTCTGTCAGGTCTGGGTTTGTGATGAGTCCTCGTTTTAAAATTGAATTGAATTGGATGGATTTCCATGGATGTGTCTTTGGATTAGGTCCATATATGTTAGATTTGTGAAGACTGGGTATCATTTATTTTGCCGATGATATAAATATGTGATTCCTCTAGGAGGCATACTCAGTGGCTCGACAGTTCAATCAGATCCCACCCATCTGTGAACAAGCAGAGTACCACATGTTCCAGAGGGAGAAGGTTGAAGTGCAACTTCCTGAACTCTTCAATAAGATTGGTAAGCAGCTGCGTTTGTGAGAAATCTCTTCTGATAATACAATGTAGAAGTTTTTTTGTCAGATGTTGAATCATCCATTCCAATGGTTGGGGAACTGTAGTGGTGGGTAATGTGATATCATTTTAATTTAGGTCATTGTTATTATTGTGGAAAGTGAAGTTTACCCCAAAACCTAATGCAAAAGGGGGCTACCGTGGGCGAGTAAAAGGAATTGTGTTTGGTCTTCCCCGCTGTCGCGACCAAACAATGGACCTGAACCCAAATCCACAACTCTACAACCAAAGTCCAAAATCAAAATTGATTAAAAACCCCAAATTAAAATCACTCTCGGAAGAGGTAAACCCTGCACTAAACAGGGCCCTGTTCCTCGTACGTGGCTAACTGAGTTAGCCGGATAATTTTCAGGATGAGATGACGTAGATCAGGCTTTTCGGTTCCCCGAAGCAGGTTTGTCTAAATCACCATAGCAACACATCGAAAAACTTTTGGCTGCTGGATTAGTTCATCACTCCCCTGGGAAAAAAAGGGCAGCTAACTTCCTCATTGATGAAGGAGCGATATAAGTTAAATTAACGTTTTATAGGGAGAGAGTTCTCCAAGATCACAAAGACCCGTTTAGCCACGATGACATCATGTACGAGCGCTATAGATGCTGATGACAAGGAATAATTTATTCACAATATTTCCCTGAGCCGAAACGTTACGTGATAAACACCACACGCTGCAGCCGAACATCCACTGTCCCGCAGCCTGTCTCACATACTGTCCCACGGACTGTCTCCCACTGTCTCTCATACTGTCTCACACACTCACACAGTGTCAGACACACTGTCTCTCGTACTGTCCTGTCTGTACGGCGATGCAGAGAACATCTAGAAAGCCGCCGCATGTCGTGCTCTTAGTAAAGTTCTGTTGGTTTATTTGTCGCCTAATAAACTTCTGAATGTTCCATATTTCACTGCTTCAATTGATCAAATGTCTGATTATGAACAATGGATGTATAATGATTATCCCATACACATTCACACACATATAATAAAACTCCTAGTTCTATATGGTCATCTACATACATATGATACATAAGCTGATACAGTACATATATCCTATTCATTTGTATCAATTTGATTCTTTGGGCTTGTTTTCATCTTCATACTCTGAAAGAGTTGAGATCATTATTCTCATTGGATGATGATGCATCCATGAAGCCTCCTACATGCAGGCACATTTAAAGAAATATAATCTGATTGATTAGAGTGACGAGGCACTTGAATCACCCTATACATTTTACCAACTCGCATGACGTTAACTTGTCTATGAAACTTTGTTGGGCTTGTAGCCTCGCAGAGGGGCGCTGTCAGTTTTTGCCATGATTATATGATTAATTTAATTTAATTTTGTATCACACAATATCGCAAATTTGGCTCAGAGGCCTTTACAGTCTGTAGACATGTGACATCCTCTGTCCAGAAACCCTCACATTGGTACAGGAAAAACTCCCCAAATAATGAAAATGTATTTGATGGGAAGAATAATGGGAAGAAACCTTTAGAGATACACAGGACGATCCTCCCTGGGACGGACAGACTGCGATGGACGTACAGAATGAACAACGTAAAATATGTATGATACGTTCAATTCATCCGACAGAAATTATTCAAATTAACATATTTCCTCATCATATGTGTTCATGATCATTTCCTGCTCGTCAGCAGAGAAAAAAGATGCCCTTCCTTTAAGTTTATTTGCTGTCATACTGTTGAAAAATCAGGTGATCAACTCTTTCGCCTTCCAACGTAAGACGCGCGATTATCCTGATGATTGACATCTGGTTCAAACTAACGAGACGTTTTGAGCGCCGATCCACCTTCGAGGGAGCGAGATAGCCTGATGTCAATCATCTCGGTAATTTGAGCTGGATAATCGGACGTTTGATCGACTTAGTTGAACCACGTACGAGGAACAAGGCCCAGGAAGAAAGTATCAGAATAACGAGACCTGACTAGGCAAATGGCATGGATACAACGCTGGTTCTCTGACACGAGGGACAAGACTAACAAAAATATATACACATAAGGTAAGGGCACAAATGGAAACAATCAGTGCTGAGGCAGACCAGCGGGAAAGCACACAGGGTAGGAGCAAGTTGCCTGAAACAAGACGAAAGTTTACTTAACAGTATGAAACAGACACATAAATATTCAATTGAATTTAGTCTCCAACAGTCTGCCATTACCCTGTTCACCCGGAGAAAGACTCACTGTATTTCAAAGTCCAGTGTTTATTTAGGTTCAATTCCACCATTTTGTCCATACGTCATCATTACATTCGGCTCAGGGATTGGCCAAGGCCGCGACTAAAATAAATGTGCGAATAAAGTAAAGTCTACTCGTTAGAGTAGAGTTTACTTTTACTAGTACACTGAAAACCGCTGTCATCAGGCCATTTCTCAAAAAACCCACCCAAGACCCAGAAGTCTTTGCCAACTACAGGCCCATCTCCAAGCTTCCATTCCTTTCCAAGGTGCTGGAAAAAGTAGTTGCCACACAGCTTCAGGACTATCTAAAACAAAACAACCTGTTCAAAAAATTTCAATCTGGTTTCCGCTCTGGCCACAGCACAGAAACAGCCCTGGTCAGGGTCACAAATGACCTACTGATGACTGCAGACGCTGGCTCCCCATCTCTTCTTATCCTCCTGGACTTGACTGCAGCATTCGATACTGTGGACCACAACATCCTCCTCCGCCGTCTACATTCCACTATCGGTCTTTCTGACTTCTGACGTCCATGAGTGGTTCTCATCCTACCTCACCGGGAGAACCGAGCATGTCGCCTTGGGAGAGGCTAAATCCCTGACACACAATGTCACCTGTGGTGTCCCTCAAGGCTAAGTGCTCGGCCCCACCCTGTTTGTTAACTACATGCTCCCCCTTGGCCATGTCATCAGCTGGCATGGAATTTCATGCCACTGCTATGCTGATGACACTCAACTCTACCTCAGGACAAACCCAACCCCCTCTACTGCCCTGCCATCATCCACTCTGACCACCTGCCTAGAGGAGATAAAGGCGTGGATGAAGCAAAACTTAGTCGGCACTCTACACCAGGTTCGGTCATCTGACATTACCAGCATCACTTTCTCTGGCCAAAATATTCCACTTTCAACATCAGCCACCAACCTAGGTGTTAAAATGGACTCCCATCTGACTTTTGAGTCTTTTGAGGGACTATTGCAATGCGCTCCTCACCGGGATCCCTGAGAAAAGCCTTCAGAAATTGCAGTACATCCAGAACAGCGCTGCTAGGATCCTGTTGAGGGTGTGCAAACATGACCACATCACCCCCATCCTCAAATCACTCCACTGGCTTCCTGTCTCACGCAAGGTTGAGTACAAGGTCTCCCTCCTTACCCACCAGTGTGGATGCAGCCCCCCCTGCCTCAAGGAACTCCCCACCCCACAGACCTCAACACGTACCCTCCGATCTGCCCAGGACAAAGCTCCGTACAATGGGAGATCGGGCTTTCTGCTCAGCTGCTCCCAGTCTGTGGAATGCTCTCCCTGACCACCTGAGGACACCACAGACTGTGGATGCTTTTAAACGTGGCCTAAAAACCCACCTTTTTAGGAGATCTTTTGAGTGAACTCGTGCCCTTCTTCTTTTCTTTTTTCAAACTCTCCATGTGTTTTTATTGTTAGCACTTACCAGTTTTATCATGTAGCACTTTGGGATTTGCTTAAACATAAAGTGCATTACAAATTAAATGTATTATTATTAGTAGTATTAAAATATTCACGCATGTGCCGTAAATTAACCAATAAAGAGCAACAAAATTAGATATCAGACATTCAAAAAATTGCCAAAATAACTAGTGGATTAAATCAGACTTGCTGTCCAGTCACTAATCTTTCTGTCACGGTTTGTTTCCTTTTTTATTTTGTAGTTTCCTGCCCCTTGTGTCCCTGGGTTAACCTTACTTCCTGCCTTGTCCTGTCATCCCCTGTGATTGTCTGATTGTTTCCACCTGTGTCCAATCACCTGCACCTCCCAGTGAATTTAAGCCCTGTGTGTCATGTGTCCTTTGTTGCGTCATTCTGTCATGAACGGGTAGGTGGAGGCAGGACTCAAACGCAGAGTTTGAAAACAAAAAAGGACTTTAATAGTCAAATTTTAAAAAAAAGGCAAAACACAGACAGGAACCAGGAACAGGCAAGACACTGAGGGTAGGACATTCAACATTCAGGGTCGAACAATCAATAACGTGACAAAGGACACATGACACACAGGGCTTAAATACACCAAGAAATGTCTGTTTAGGCTGGGGCTGATTTTAACCCAAAACAAGCAGCAGAAATGTGTGTGTTATTTGATCTATTACAAGGCCTGTTTTGGGAATGCAGGCATTGGAGCTATGGCATGGTCTCCATTGGCTTGTGGGATCCTCTCAGGGAAGTATAACAATGGGATCCCCTCTCATTCACGTGCCTCACTTAAGGTAACACTCATACTTTTCCCACTTCTCATATCATTATATTGCGCGTTATGCTGCTGAAAAAAAACTACTTTAGTCTTCCGAATACATCATACTGCAAATGTTCAGCCTTGCATATTGTTTCATTTGTTCTGAGATACTGTATCTGTCTGTGTGATTTCTGCATCATTCCCAAAAAGATTTTCAGGGAAGCAAACTGTCTTGAACCGATTCAAAGCTTCTTGAATGTCCAAAAGTAGTTCGTCTAAGAATGACAATTTATAATTAACAGTACCCCCTTGTGAGAAAGACCGTTCAATTGGAAAAAAGAAATCTTCTGTTGCATTCTGCATTAGTTAAAACGTAATAATCTCTGTTTTGCCTATAGACTTGAGCTCTGTATTGTGCTGTCTGCAACAGGGTTATCAGTGGATGAAGGACAAGGTCACGAGTGAGGAGGGGCACCGTCAGCAAGTGAAGCTGAAAGAGTTGCAGATAGTTGCTCAGAGACTAGGATGCACTCTGCCCCAACTGGCTATTGGTAAAATAAAACAGTGTTCTGCTGTATATTTGTCTTTTCATATCCTTTGATATCTCTCCATAAAAAAGAAACTACAAAACATTGGCGCCACACACATTAAAGAATTAAATAAACAACTCAACTACAATTGCAACTTGCTATGATTCCCAAGCCTTTGCGGTTGTGCAAACGACTTCACTCTGCCTCACCACAGCCATTTCTTACTGTACTGAAAATTCCCACAGCATGGTGCCTGAGAAACGAGGGAGTGAACTCTGTCCTGCTGGGAGCTACCAGAACTGACCAACTAATGGAAAATATCAGAGCAATCAAGGTCAGAAAGCGTATGTTATCTACAGGTGCTGGTCATATAATTAGAATATCAAAAAGTTTATTTATTTCACTAATTCCATTCAAACAGTGAAACTTGTCTTATGTGCGTTCATTACACACAGACTGATATATTTCAAATGTTTATTTTTTTTAATTTTGATAATAACTGACAACTAGGGAAAATCCCAAATTCAGTATCTCAGAAAATTAGAATATTACTTAAGACCAAACAAAGAGGTTATTTAGAAATCTTGGTCAACTGAAAAGTATGATCATCATCACAACACTCGATACTTAGTTGGGGCTCTTTTTCCCTGAATTACTGCAGCAATGCGGCGTGGTATGGAGTCGATCAGTCTGTCGCACTGCTCAGGTGTTTATGAGAGCCCAGGTTGCTGATAGTGGCCTTCAGCTCTTCTGCATTGTTGGGTCTGGCATATTGCATCATCCTCTTCAGAATACCCCATGCATTTTCTATTCTAACCCTATGGTCAGGCGAGTTTAAGAACAGGGGTACCATGGTCCTTAAAACAGGTACTGGTTGCTTTGGCACTGTGTGCAGGTGCCAAGTCCTGTTGGAAAATGAAATCTGCATCTCCATATAGTTGGTCAGCAGCAGGAAGCATGAAGTGCTCTAAAACTTCCTGGTGTACGGCTGCGTTGACCTTGGACCTCTGAAAACACAGTGGACCAACATCAGCAGATGACATGGCACCCCAAACCATCATTGACTGTGGAAACTTTGACACTGGACCTCAAGCAACATGGATTGTGTGACTCCCCTCTCTTCCTCCAGACTCTGGGACCGTGATTTACAATGGAAATGTAAAATTTACTGTCATCAGAGAACATAACTTTGGACCACTCAGCAGCAGTCCAGTCCTTTTTGTCTTTAGCCCAGGCAAGAGGCTGTTGTTAAAGAGTGGCTTGACACAAGGAATGCGACAGCTGAAACTCACGTCTGTGCATAGTGGTTCTTGAAGCACTGACTCCAGCTGCAGTCCACTCTTTCTATATCTCCCCCACATTTTTAATGGGTTTTGTTTCACAATCCACTCCAGGGTGCGGTTATCCCTATTGCTTGTACAATTTTTTTTCTAACACGTCTTTTCCTTCGCCTCTCAATTAATGTGCTTGGACACAGAGCTCTGTGAACAGCCAGCCTCTTTTGCAATGACCTTTTGTGTCTTGTGAATTACGAATTGTACCAGAAACACTTGCTGGCCCAATGTTTGAAATGCTGATCACTGTTAAGTGTACTTAGTAGAACCAAAGACATTATTTATGAATTGTTGCCTTTACTTTTTTTTTCAACTTGTGTGAACAGAGGGTAATTTGGCCCCCTTGGTGTGTTAGTTTACATTGGTTTCTGTTGTAAATTGAGTTTTTCTGCTGTGATACTTAAGCTTTTTAACCAAAGGTGATCTCATAAATATCAGGGTAACTATTAGAGCAAACAATCTTTTCAACTTCCATTTGTATTTCTGAAAATGTCTGATTCTTAGCCACGTGCCCTCACAGTGCAACAAACTGGACACAATTCAGATGCTGTCTTGTGGAAAACATACTTTTCTTCATCCTTCATTTGATGCTCAACTAAGACCTGGCTGCGGAACGATACCGGACTCTGCACCCCAGCTGGCATGGTTCCAGATATTCGGAGCGTATTGTAACACTGCAAATCGAAGGATGGTGGATTAACTACTTTTTTTTAATTAATTTTTTTACTGTTTTGAAATACAATGGATCCCTCCCCATCTTTCACTTACTGGACTTTTGATCAAAATTGGAAGTTATAAATAATGGAAGATCCCGGAGCTAAAATGACGGGACAGAAGATAACACATTCTTTTCAAACAGAGTGGTACAACCAAAAAGATTGGCTTTATGGTTGTGCTACCCGAAACAGTCTTTTCTGCATTCTCTGCCTTTTGTTCTCAACGAGTGACACTGTCTGAACTACAACTATATATATATATATATATATATATATATATATATATATTATATTCTCCTTTTATGGAGAAATGTTATTAGCGTAATTATAAACGTAAAGGGTGTAGACATTATGAACTTTGCTCCCAAGAACTTAAGGATTTATAATGATGTAATCTGTGCAAATATATCTTTTTTTGGTGCATCAGTTTCATGATGCTTTGATGATAGTTTTACAATCCGATTTGTTCAAACTAAGTTTTTACCTTTTCATCACTTTTAAAGCTTTGCAGGAAAGAATGCCTAAAACAGACATTATGGAAGAATGCATTAGTTGAGTGTTTCTATCAAGATGTCACCTCAGCAATGTCGACAGCTTTTTGTTACTGAACTGACTACAAGAATACATTTATGAACAGGCTTACAGTATATTCTCTCTGCAGTTAAAGTAAGTAAATGGTCTTACAAATTGAATTAATCTTTTCTTTGTTTCAATTCCACAGGTTCTTCCAAAGTTATCACAGTCCATTGTGATTGAGGTGGATAACCTCTTAGGAAACAAGCCGCTGAGTAAAAAGGACCCCAGATCCTGAAAGCACCCGCTATACTGATAAATGACCAATTGTGGGCAACGTATAGTCTGACAAATAATGAAATAAATAGACCAAAAATGTAAGATTACTCTATTCACTAATTCAATGCATGATTGACTTTCCTGTTCACGTCTGCACTTATTGCCACTTAATGCATAAGGTCTACCATATGCAAAATATTTTTCAAATACCCTAAATATCAACTTAAAGAAAACAAAATGAACTCTTGCTGAGTATTTGCTCAGCATGTAGCAGAGGGTCTAAGACCTGTTAACCTACTGAACAACTCGCGCTTTCAGCATAACAATGACTTGTATGTTGAAGCCCCAGATACCAGTTCATGCTGGTATCTGGATTTATTTATAATCACAGTCCTTTTCCAAAGACTACTTTTTGTTTTAGTCAGTTTTGCCATTTGATTTAATCTAATTAGTCTAGTGAAGGTAAATTACTAGTTAGTCTAACTAGTAATTAATGCTTGATTTGATGTGAATTTATTAAATTCCTTTTAATACTTTTTGGTGGTGGCTAGGAATTATTAGATAATAATGTAATTTGTGTTTTTCAAAATCAATATTAAAGAAGTTTAAACTGGTACGAGTCAGTTTTTTCTCTTTTCTTTCATAATGACATCAACCAAAATAATTTGTTCGATAGATTTACCTACATTCACAATGTAGGAGTTCTGGCCATGCCAAGCTCAAAGCTTAACTACATTACATTACATTACATTACATGTCATTTAGCTGACGCTTTTATCCAAAGCGACGTACAATAAGTGCATTCAACCATAGGGTACAAACTCAGGAGAACAAGAAACAAGAAAGTGCAATTTCCTCAAATAAGCGAATTTACAATTTGCTATAGATGAGTGACGTCACAAGTACAATTTAAGTGCTACAATTTGTTAGTCTTTAGTCGAGGTAGAGTCTGAAGAGGTGTGTCTTTAGTTTGCGGCGGAAGATGTGAAGGCTCTCTGCGGTCCTGATGTCTTCAGAGAGCGCATTCCACCATTTCGGCGCAAGGACAGCGAAGAGTCGAGACCTAGTCGAGTGTTTTGCTCTCAGTGAGGGAGGGACGAGTAGTTTTGCAGATGCAGAGCGGAGAGTGCGGGTTGGGATGTAGGGTTTGACCATGTCCTGGATGTAAGCTGGACCCGATCCATTCACAGCATGGTACGTGAGCACCAGTGTTTTGAACTGGATGCGGGCGGCCACCGGTAGCCAGTGAAGAGAGCGGAGGAGTGGAGTAGTGTGGGAGAATTTCGGAAGGTTGAAGACCAGTCGAGCTGCTGCATTCTGAATGAGCTGCAGAGGTCGAATGGCGGTGGCAGGGAGACCTGCCAGGAGGGAGTTGCAGTAGTCCAGGCGGGAGATGACAAGAGCCTGAATCAGTACCTGCGCTGCCTTCTGAGTGAGAAGGGGACGTATTCTCCTGATGTTGTAGAGCGTGTATCTACAGGATCGCGTTGTCGCAGTGATGTTGGGAGTCAGGGAGAGTTGGTTGTCGAGTGTGACGCCGAGGTTCTTAGCAGTCGAAGTGGGCGTTAGCACAGAGTTTCCAAAGTTGACTGTCAGGTCCTGGGTAAGCGAGTCTTTTCCGGGAAAGAGAAGTAGTTCAGTCTTGTCGGGGTTGATTTTCAGATGGTGGGCGGACATCCACTGAGAGATGTCAGTTAGACAGGCAGAGATCCGAGCCGCCACCTGGGTGTCCGAGTGAGGGAAGGAGAGAATTAGTTGGGTGTCATCGGCATAGCTGTGGTAAGAGAAGCCATGCGAGCGAATGACAGCGCCAAGAGAGTTGGTGTAAAGCGAAAACAGGAGGGGACCCAGCACGGAACCCTGAGGAACTCCAGTAGTAAGAGGACACGGTTCCGACACAGATCCTCGCCAGGTTACCCGGTAGGTGCGGCCATCGAGGTAGGACGAGAGAAGGGAGAGAGCAGAGCCTGTGACACCAAGTTCTTGAAGGGAGGAAATAAGGATCTGGTGGTTGACCGTGTCAAATGCAGCAGAGAGGTCCAGAAGGAT